TTTCGAGGAGGTTGCAAATCCTTCTATTTGATAGGTGGAAGTTGTGCCCTTGTCGCAAACTTTGGGCCCGGGTCAAATGAAGAAATAGATTTTTGTAACTAAATTAGGTGGTGTATGAAGTATTTATTGATTTAATATGACAATTATGGGCCCATCTTACACAAATCTAATAGCTTTTCTCTAGTTTGAGCGAAGAAATCAACTATATTCATTGGATCCATTACTTCAAAAACGTTATCCGATTGTGCCCTTGGTGCAAACTTTGCGCTCAATATTAGTAACATCAGTTCTAAAGGACGATATTAGAAATCGGCTTTTCCCAAGTAACTTATATAGGACACTGTAATAGAACAAGTCTGCGCAGTTTTATTACAGTTGAGGCTTCACATGATTGTTTCCATAGAAAACAATCAACTCGTGTAAATCTGCAGGAACGGACTAGCTCAAGCGCATTATAGCTGATTTTTTTAGATGCTCTATTGGCCCAAAGATCATATTTTTGAGAAGTCTAATCCTTCAACTAAAAATAAGGTGCATTAGTTCTATTCCGAAAAAATGACCTCTTTTTGAAAAAAAAACAATCTTTTTTCAGTACTGCTCCTATCATTGTACACTGCAGTACAGTATAATGGTGCCAAGATTGGTAGAAACTGTACTGAACTTAATTGAAACAATAGTATTTTTCTCAAAACTGGCTCTTTTTATCGGCGTCAAGCAGAAGTACATTTTTTCGGCTCAAAAAATCGGGTAGGTCCTAAGTTGGTTACTGTGCGGCAATTTCGTCGACTGCTACAGTGCTACGGATTAAGTGGTTTAAGTAGACTGTATCTTTTTATTTTTCAAATATATTGCAGCCAACACTCACCTTTGTCGTGTGCACTTGCATGATATTCTTATAAACTTGTGAGTCGGTTTTACGCGGTTAGCTGTCAAATTTTTGCTGATTGCGTTTGGTGGCTACCATAAAACGTACTAGCTCTTCTTTTTGTTCTGCGCATTATCTGAAATCTTCATTCTTCACCAGTGGCATAGGATTGCGAAGATTCAGTGTGGTTTCAAAAGTTATTTCAAAGAAACCTTTAGGGGTCTGAATTTCCATTGAGGAGCCACTTGAGCCCTTTTTTCTTAGCAACTTGTGGTATTATTTTTTGTTTTCCATATGCATTTTGGAGACCTTACTCTGGAGTATATTATATAAAAATTAGTTGTAGGCCCCACGGTGGACAACAAGCGGATGCGGCTGTTAACTTCGAAGCAGTCTTTCGAGCAAATTAAGCGAAATCGGAAGGAGTTTTTGCATCTAGTTGTCACCGCCGATGAAACCTGGATTCATCATTACGCACCAGAAACTAAGCAACAATCAAAACAACGGATTTCTCCCGGCGAATCTGCTCCAAAGAAGGCGGAAAGGTCATGGCGATGATTTTTTGGAATGCGAACGGCGTCATCCTCGTGGATTTTTCAGAAAAAGGAAGAAAGATCACTGGACAATACTATAAGAAGTTATTTTACCGCTTCGATAAAGAATTGCAGGAGACACGGCCACATTTAACGAAAACGAAGGTGCAGTTTCACCACGATAACGCACCAGCACATTCATCCGGAGTTGTCGCCGCCAAACTGCATGAATTCCGTTATGAAGTGCTGCCGCACCCCCTGTACTCACCCGATCTGGCCCCCTGCGACTTTTTCTTATTCCCTGACATGAAGAAATGGCTCGCGGGGAAAAACTTAGCTCAAACGAGGAAGTTATCGCCGAGACAGAGGCGTATTTTGGAGAGTTTGACAAATCCAAATTTTTGGGGGTGTTAAGAAAATGGCAGGAAAGTTGGGAAAAGTGTATCTTTCTAAAAGAGGATTATGTTGAAAATTTTTTTTTGTAAGAATGGTGTCTTCAGTTCTAACACGGGTACTTACTGAACCGCCCTCGTAAAATGCTGTTGCATTCTGCACGAAAAACCTTCGATATAATTCCGTTCTTTTATTTATGACCGAGCGGGGAAGTGTACTTCGTGAATAGATTTTCCATGCGCTAAGTTTTATTTTTCAGCCCATGAACTTCTTTATGCTTATGTTGAAGGCACTGTGATACTCCTAACAATTGATAATAAATTATAGTATAGTATTGATGAATAAACAACTTACGATGGTTCTTCCAAAAACAGTATGTTGAAAGTGATGAAGCCATACATGTATTTCACATTTTGCATTGATTTGATGTAGCGCAATAGGCAATAAATTGTGCATGTGGCAGTGTTGTATAAAATTATGGTATTTGAGTGATTCATGATTTCCTCTACATCTGACCGGAAATCATGCAATCAGTTGATTTTTAATAAGTGATGGTAATCAGCTCATCAATCCTATTATTATTATATACTGTGCAGATATCAGGATCATTTAGTAAAGAAATGTATATTAAGTGTGGTGTCCCACAAGGAACTGTCTTAGGTCCGCTGTTATTCAATATATATTTAAATGATATTTTCCAAATTAATTGTGTTGGCAAAATAACTAGTTTTGCAGATGATACTGCAATATTATATGAAGGCACTGACTGGTCTGATCTGAAAAATGTAATTGAAAATGATTTTATCAAGATTATTCGGTGGTTTAACAGTAGAAAATTAAGCATTAACTACTCTAAAACACATTTTTTACCATTTGGATCTTATGCTAGACACCTGCCAAATTACACAAATTTCTCCTTCAACATTAATGATCAAAAAATGCAAATTAATAGAGTGCCCAACATAAAATACCTTGGAGTGGTCTTGGATCCTCACTTACGATGGGACATCCATGTCAATTATATTTTAAAGAAAGTTAGATTTGTATCCTACAAAATTAAATACCTTGGGAATATATTGACAGAAAAATATCTTCGAACATTATACCATGCACTGATTGAGCCTCATCTCACATATGGTATATTAGCATGGGGAGCTGCATGTCCCTCACATATCTATAATTTAGATGTTTTTCAAAAAAGTATTCTAAAAATGATATTTAAAAAACCGAAACTTTATCCCACTGAAAAATTATACGCAGATGTTCGAATGTATGATATAAGACAGCTTTATTTCTTACACAGCATCACTCACTACCATAAATTTGTAAAGACCGACCAAAAAATTAAACATAATCATTATACCAGGTACAAAATTCGTGGCACAGTAGTTCCTCAACCGCATAAATCTATAATGCAGCGATCATATCTCTATTTAGCGCCTAAATTTTATGAAATTATACCTAAAGACTTAAAAGATTTACGTTTCGGAAATTGTTTCAAAAGAAATTTAAAAAAGTGGCTACATTCTATATCTAGGACTGAAATTCATAAACTCATAAATACGAACATCAACTAAATACATAATCTACTGTAGCTAATTTTTGTTCTTTTTTGTAATTTGCATTCTACAGTTTCAACTTCAATTATTGGTCCATGTACAGGCGATGCCTTCTATTGGGCCTGTTTTGATTTTATATTTATTTACTCATGTTGTTTGTTATCTTTGTACATTGAGTAAATAAATATTATTATTATTATTATAATCATAACGGGTACGGTTTCGGATATTCAATGGTAAGCCAACAAACCGGCGACAGTGGTACGAATTTTGCATAAATAATTATATGAATTGCCATTAGACACCATTCCGAAAACAGTGGATTAACACTGCCCCTTCAACTGTGGACAGTAGTCATGCTGTGAATGTCCAAGTATGTACAAATATTACTCCGAAAATGCGTAATTTAGTTTGATTCACTTTTGTCAAGCTTAATGAAACTAACAGAGCGATAGCATCTTCAGGACTATAACACGTGTATTGATTTTTATTTTCCCACTGAAACTCTTTTGATTTTTGTGGCTCTTGGCAGAGGGCCAAAGAGTGATTTCAGAATCAAGGATGCATCTCCTTTACCATTTTGTTGGCTGCAGCGGACATGAGTTCCTCAAAAGATCACTCAGGAGAGACTGCAGTCTTCGCTTCTTCTTCAGAGGTCCTGCTATCCAAACAGTTTTTGTTTGCCCATCCCAGGACACTGGATCTCTTTTTTAATTTGAGCTTGGCCGTTTAACCACGTTCCATGGACGGACACAAATCGAATACAGGCGCTGTTGGACTGATACCACTTTCCTTTTGTTAAAGACTAATCGAACATTTTTAGACTACACGCGAGATCACGACTTATATGAGGAAAGTCATAAAAATGTTTTATTGAATATATCCCCCAAAGAAACAATTGTGATGGAATCACTTGTTACCTTTGAGAATGTCCGAATGGACGCCATACAGTAGGACGCTGCACCTACTCAGATGTGGCAATTTATTACTAATCATTTTATTCCTCGTTCAGCTGAGAAACTCAGTCAATTATTTATAAAAGACAATATTACAGTTACCACTAACGAAGACAGTGACAATGACTGATTATGAATATGAATATGAATATTATTACTAATACAATTTAAAAATATTAGAATAGCTCATCTTATGCTAGTATGACAACCCAAAAAGAAATCAAATGAATGAAATTTCCAGATGAGCATTTTATCCTTAAAGGACCCACTTTGCTTCCCCTCTCCCTCTTTCTACGATCGATCAGGAATGCTAGGTTGAAAGCAGAGTTCTTGTCACTACCACCATTCATTAGCTATTTTATTTTGACAAGTGACGAATTTTCCCCTAAAAAGTAGTTGATGTTGAAGTTGAATGAAACAAGAGAGTGAGGTATTAAAAAAAAATACAATACTCGCATATGTCGCTATGAGATATGACACATTTTCCAGAGGTCCAATTCTCAGAGATTGATACATGGGTATTGTTCGATCTTAGAAATTATTTGGGCTGTTATTAAGTAGAATTAGCTAACTAGATAACGTTAACAACTGGGTGTGCATCCACAAAAAATACATAGTGGGCTTATTGGGTCGACCGTTCGATTGTCTCTTAGCTTTTAGTGCGGTGGAGCAATGATAACCTTATTTATTTTAGCTAAAATTGGACGGTATAGACTTGAGCAATATGTGATTCTAGAAGTATGCGCTTTGGACATCCTGCAAGCAGGTATGACATGATCTGGCCAGCGGAATCATGCGATTTGATCTCAATAGACCTTTTCTTGTAGAGTTTTCTACACAAGTAGGTCTTTTTCATTCAAATACAATCCACCGATTCACGTAAGCCAACCCATCGCTCACATTCAGCCATTATGTATACCACAGAGTCATTAAAAGTTGTACCTCTGGAGTCCGTATCTTTATGCGAAGCCACAAGAAACAATTAAACCACAGCATATTTATTATATCAATTATCATTAATTTATAGGCCATAAAAAAAGATTTGCATTAATACCTCACATGCAAATTGTTTTATTTTATTTAAACATGGAGCTGTCCTTATTGGAAGACCCTTTATAAAGCATAACCCTACACAAAGCTTTGACTAGACAAAAGATCTAAATGGAGCTGTTCTCTGAATACCCAACAAAAAAATCATATTTTGGTGGCGATATGTAATGAAGCGTTTTCAGCTATCTCTGTCTGACCTCATCAAATCGCCTTAGTTACAAACGGAGTGCCGTTGTCACAAGGGGGTGCTATAATATATCCTCATAATATCCGAATGCTGGCGTAGGCGCCATTAGAAAGTCGCTGAAGGCCTGAAGTTTAGTAATTCTCTTTAAGAATTCCTCACTCGCTATTATCAGGCAAAGTGCTGTTGCTCCTTCGTCTTATAAAGGACGTACGTGTATGTGAGACGCGGCATTACCATTTCCACCCATTTCTGCGTTTCGGCTCTAATTAAGAATAAAGGCACGCTTAGTAGATTCCGAATAGCCTTTCGACATTTTCACACTACCTTGTAGGTGTAAGTTCGACACTCACCCTTGGCGAGGGTTACACCGTTGCCCACCCAAGCACCTAGATAGGCACAGAGCAACTATATTTCGTCTTCTGCTGTGCATAAATACTGCTCTGAGCCTGTTTATATCATGTGCTATATGAGCACATGCCTAGCCACGGTGTAAACATGACCATTGTTCGTTTTTCAAACTTATTTGATCATAATAAAATACGTTCTTGAGGTCATGGGCCCCTAGGAGCGACCTACTGCACTGAAAATTTGGAAAATGTACCTTAAGGAGGATTAATCTAGATTTGGATAGATTTAGGGGCAATTTTTATACGTAGTTTGACCTATAGATTACATGAAGAACCCTCTTTTGGAGACGGTATTAGACAAAAGCGTACCCTAGCTTCGAGAAAAATTTGTCTGCCGATAGACATAAAGTACATGCGCTCAAGCCGGTAACGATTTATTTTTTACAGCTAATTACAAGTACAAAAATAAATATCTTTTGATAATAATAATAGTCGACATTCGACCTAGTACAATTATTATCTGATTCTTTCAAGATTTTGCATATGGCGGTGAACCGTTAGTATCCAAGAAGTAATCTCCAACAGCTCTGAAAATACAAAAGTCGTATTACTGTAGATAGCAGATATTTTTTATTTGTAAAATTGGGTTATTCAATGAAATTGTCCCTAAACCATTCAGTTATTTACAGAGTAAAGCTGTATAACTAAACAGTAGAACCACGAGTGCATCCATGTAGGTTTGATACGAAGTCTTATACAACTTAAGCGTATTTCAGACAATGAAAAGCTTGACATACCTTCTTATGCAAAATAGCTAGAAGCTTATTCTGTCTCAAAATAAACACAAAATACATGTTATTCAACCTATTGCTTTTCTAACAAACTCACTTTTTATCTATGTTATAGCCACCCATCCATGACGCACGCTGGTTCTTGCATTCACCTCGTTTGTAGGCTTCGTAGTTAGAGCACCTAGTAGCTGCGTACTTGTATCCTCTGATTGATTCTGCTAAATATTCGTAGGATCTACCGTGAGAACAACTTCCTGGAAAAGAAATTTTTACTGTATTCTTCAAATTTCAAAATGTCACAATAATTGATGGTCCCTAACGTAATATTATATCCGTGTGTTCTGACTATAAAAAATCCGGCAAGTAGGTTGACACGATACTTTCCAAGCAACGGTGTCATCCGGTCATGAAGGATTGTGTTCGACTCAAGTTAGCCTATCCGGGAAGCTCCGAGAAAAAAGTTACAACAGAATAGTAAAGTAGATCAAGTTAGTCAAGAGGGCCATAGAGCAACGTTTTAAGTGCCAAAATTAAGATATACCCCCTTTTTGCCCATAGCTACGACGCCACTGGAACAAAAAAGCTTTTTCATCTATGTCATAGAAGTAACCTTCTGACATACTTTTACCAAAATCCAGTATTTTCCAATCACTAATTCCCCATGTTTTTCTGGTCAATAAAACCAAATGTATTGACAGCATCTTCTTTACATTGACAAATATTAGATTTATCTTTCTTCCAAACTACAGTCCGTTTATTTTTTCTTTTTACTACCATATTTCTACACAGTGTTTGAAAGTCCCGTCACATGCTGATATTGCGAGAAGTCAGCACTCCAAAATGACAAGCGAGCTTTTTTTATGTACCAGATACGGCATCTTCGTCCATCATCCAGAAAACGCCAAAAACCCTGCAAAAAAACGCGAAGACCACCTAGAACACTGTTGTTCAATAAACCACAGGATAGTTTCTGATGAACCAAAGGTATGGCCACTCAATTCTGCTTTATTTTAGAAGTTTGGAAAAGTATTTTCCAAGTTATAGCTGAACCAAAAAGTAACAGACAGACATACAAACAGACCGACGGAAATGAATGACATGGTTTTTCGTGATGAAATGTCATGTAACATCCAAAATCTACTCGGTTCCAATTTTCGTGATTTAAAGACTTCCTCGTCAACTGGGTCGGAAGTCAAGGGGGCAAACGAAAAATAATGAAGACAGAAAATGTAGCAATGTTTTTTATGCAGAACGTACACGAGTACATCAAGTTATAGGGAGCGATTAAATTTGTAGTGTGTCGTGTGTTTGACCAGTGAGTGGTAGAAATACACAATAATATATTTATAACATGAACTGACCAGTGACATCTTGTACTCCACAACCTTCTTGGACAGCACCTCCATTTGGATAGTAGTCAGAGTGTCCAATCGAAATCGGGAAACCGAGTCGGCCTGCACAAGTGTGAATTACTTGAACGTATTTGGCATCAGTATAGTCCAGCCGACTCTCAGTGTCCGATGATGAAAACAATGGCCAAGCAGGGTCTAAACCTGGAAAATAAGATAAAGACATGCTCAATACAATTCTCGGAATTCATTCTGCGATTGTCATCACTAAAGTCATTACAAATAACTTAGCTTGTTTGCTCTTATTATAAGTGTGGATAAGACATGAGGTATAGCGACGAAAATCTTCGAAATTTACGAGCTGCTCTAACAAATAAAAACTAAACAAAAACTACGGGGGTCAAGAAATGAAAAGATGATAGATAAAACTACAAATAATTATCAAGTTGAAATTTCGCATTTCCGCTTAGATTACATTAATGCGTGTTATCTCACATACTTTTGAATTCATATTTGTTCCGTTCCCTTATCTAAGATCAATTTAAGCACGTGCTATTCGATAAGGTACACTTTAAACATGTATTGTTGTATTGCTGATCCATGTAGATTAGTGGATAGCTCTATAGTTTTATCCGGAAGATAGTGCTTAACCAATCAGGAGAATAGATCAAGAGAGAAACCGATTACCATAGGCCTTATTGGGATTATAATAATTTTACGAGGAATAGTCGTCTCGTTGCTGAGTCCAGCAGTCATAAGCTATCAGTTTGAAAGCCGGTAACACAAAACCGTTCAGTACCCATTGGGAAAATGTTTTCCACTCCCAGGTTATACTGGCTGCTCGGACAGCAATGGAAGATAGCAGTTGGTAGGTTGCGCTTTCCAGATATCGACGGGTGGCCCAATACGAATTCCTTGGAGAGATGGTTCCGATACTCTCTGTTAGGAACTTTTTTTAAGGGGGGAGGGGGGTGTTAAAAACCAGCCAGCCCATCCTGAATCACTTTGCCCATCGCGTTCGTCTCCGCGAGGAGATGGTGAATCGTATCCAGATGTTGCAAGGGAAAAGCTAAAACAATAGACACCTACTCAGTTTTTTGCATACTCCACCGAATTGGCTGCAAAATGGCGGACGGTTGTTTACTATAAACAATATTTTTCGAAATTGTGGTATTTTTTTCCTGCTATTTCCAACTAAAAATAATAAACTCTTTTGAATTATTTTTTTTGTAGATAAGGTTTTGTGTGTACTTTGAGAAAATGACGCTTAGTCATCTGATAGCCGTAACTTAAGATACCTGATATCGGAAGCTCATTTTCTTTCCTTTAATACCAAAATTTGATGATTCATCGCTTGTAAGTCATTGCAGTTTTAGGAAGTAGATGGTAATACTTGTGAGATTGTCACTTCTTGGATATTTGGAAATGCATCTTGTTTTTCCTACAGCGCGGTTGAATTTAATCAAGCATGATCAAATAGCACGTCTTCATTTGGTCGTAGCTTCGTTATTATTTTGTACATATTAGATTAGTCCAAAAATTAAGCATTACAAGTTTCTCTACATTGATGTGAGGGAACTGAAAGCATAACATTATCCGTGTTTAAGATTCAATGAACTCACCAATGATATAATCTAATTGACTATTCAGTGCAGCTCCAACCAATCCACTAACGTGAGCTCCAAGAGAATGCCCAACGAGAAACGTCCTATCCGTGGTGAGATGCTTGGACTTCTCTAACAGCTGAACAAACTTGGCCACGATCTTAGCAACTCCAGGCACTGCATTGTGAGCGCTGAGATAGTTCTTGTCTGCGTACTTGGACCAATCAACGATGAAAACGTTGACGTCTTTAGACTCCAAGATGGCATCTTTTACTAGATGGTTCAGTGTGGAAGTGCGGTCGTTGTTCCAACCGTGGATTACGAAACAAGTAGGCTTTTTGGGATCGAAGGGAGTCCTGCACAGAATAAAAAATGTAAATTTATAATAATAAAAAATACATTATAAGGGTGTCTATTAAATATCCGAACACCCCAAATAGTCGGCAACCACAAACATTTTCGAAAAAAATGCCATAATAAAAGTTTTAGTATAGGAATTTGTCTATGACCTCAAATGTAATATAGGTAATCACTTAGAGATCATCTGAAAGTCAAATTTAAACATTTAATCAATCAATTCTTTAAAAATAGCAACCACCAGCTTTGGCGGCAGATTCTACATCACATATTGTTATCAAAATGAAGGTTAATATTTGAATTTTAAGACTTAACCTCCAAATGGCATCTGAGCTCTGTCTATATCATATTTAAGAGTAAAAATAAATTATCTTAACTTTTGGTTCTTAAAAAATACCTAGTTGCCAAGCTTTATGAGTGTAGTCTTCAGAGATTACAGTGGGATGTACTGGTTGGACCACATATGACAACTTGAACTCATGTTTGCAAATGCAGTCTGATGTAGGATCTCAAATTTGACATAGTTCTGCTGTACAAAATGATAGCCTCTATTTGAATTGTCAAATTTAACTATCAGATTATCTCTAAGGTTGTTACCTATGTCACATTTGATGTCATTGAAAAACGTGTTTTTTGGTATCGTGAAACTTTCGATGGAATGTTAGTTTTAACTAGTGGTTGCCAATTTGCAGGGACGTATTTTCCAGACGTTATTAAGTCATACGGAGTGGACTCCTTGACTTTATGTATGAAAATGCACTCTGATATAAAATAAAATCAAAGCCCTAACTTTTGATTCATTTTTTCAAAATAATAAAGGTTTCCGAATATTCGGAGAGTTCGGATCCACCATTTGTCTCCAGATTATTATATTCAATTTAAAGTAATATCTAAATTTGTTTGTTTGTGCAACGTATAAGCCAGAACATTACTGGATCAGCAGGCGTAAAAAGAACTCACATTTTATCTCCAAAGGTCCATGCAGCCAAAATAATACTTACTTTGCAACTGAAGCATTAGCAACCTCTATTTCTAACCCACTATTGTTGTTCTTCTGAGTGAATATGTATATTTTTACATCTGAATCTGCAACTTTAACTTTATCGACAGGTTTCGTGAGGTCTTCCTTAACGAACACTCCTGGTAATTTCTCGTTAAGGATATAAGGCAGGGGGTATTTATCTGGTTCTGACTTTACTTTTGTATCTGGAACATTAACGTTGTTGAATGTTGTATTCAGAAGAACAGTACCTATACAATCAGAAATATTAACAAGAAAGGAAAACAAATGATACCACTTCAAACTTAGCAGAAGTAAGATAAAATCATTACTACAACAACATTTCAACATGCCCTTATGTCAACAGCTTTTAAAACGTGGAAAAATGTTGGTCACCAATATACTTTTTGATTTTTGAATGGATGAGTCTTAGGAGATTCACAATAAGTTTTAATGGTCAGAGTTGACTATGACATAGAAATGAGGAATGAAAGATCTGCTATCTCTGAGCTTGTAACTTTTAATTTAAATGTGGTGTATCTTTTCGTTCGTTGATGATCCGTTCTAAGACACCCACATACCTCCCGATTAAAATAACGCCACACATTAAGCATAATAACCTCCGTGAATACATAAATGTATACCTACTTGGATAGCAAATAACAACACAAATTAGGAGACTAAATCCCACAAGGATCTTCATTGTTAGTATTTCCGCAATGCTCAGAAAACTGCTCTGTTATTCGCGTTTTGAATTGCTTATAATGACAAAGTAGGTACTTGAAGCAGTGATTTTTATCGATATAAATCTTTTGTTGATTAATTGTTCTACGATAAATTAGAGAACGAAAATATTCATAGATGGAAATCAATCTACTGGCTCGGTTCTGCCCATATAGTGGAAACTTTCAACACCACCTTCCTCTTCCCGTTTGTCAAACTCATATGAATCAGACGTCCCATCATTTAAAGGGTAACACCGAACCAACGTCAATGCTGCAATTTACATCCCTATTCTGCCTCGGCTGTGTAGCACTCCTAGTCCAAAACTCACTACATACGCTATGCCTCAGCATATCTGATATTCACCTTCTTATTAACACTGATAGTAGTTAGACATCTATTTGATGTCTTCCTCATTGGGCAGTGCCACCGCTGCCAAACGTACAGGCATGCGCAGTCATACTAGACTGCACCACCCAAATGCCTAAAATGCAGCATGAGTACTGGATTCTTGCTTTTCGATGTCTCAAACGCCTTTGACAAGGTGTTGGCACGCGGGTCTCCTTTGTAAACCAATCCAAAAGGGATTTTCTTTTTGGCTTCTAAAATTACTCAAACTCTTTCTTGAAGGAAGGAAGGTTCGGATCAACATTAACAATGTTTTGTCAACAACACGGTCATTACGGGCCGGTGTTCCTCAGGGTTCGGTCCTAGGACCAATCCTTTATTCGCTTTTTATCCAAGATGTCCCTTGCCCCAGCAACTGTGAAGTCTACTTCTATGCTGATGACGACACTGCACGTGTCGCCTAGTCGTGTACTGGTGATCTGGTTCACGATGGATTGCAGAGTGCGATGGAAGATGTACTAGAGTGGGCGGAACGGTGGCTGATTAAAATGAATCATTCGAAAACGCAGGCTATTTATTGTACCAAAAAACATCGCGACCCCCCAGTAGTGGTTTCTGCAGACGGCAATCGTGTACCATGAACAAGTTCTGCCAAGAACCTCGGTGTCACCCTTGATAAAGGCATGACCTGTCAGAAACATACAGCAGCGTTGAAAACAAAATTCCAAATTGCGTTTCGGCAACTATATCCTTTGTTATGTAGATTCTCCAAATTGAGTTTGACAAACAAACTTCGCCTATATAAAATGATTATTAGACCAGCCATTACTTATGCATGTGCGGCTTGGTGTTTTCTTACCAAGACACACATGCAAAGTCCTCAAGTACTGCAAAGTAGAACTTTGCAAACAATTTGCAACGCTTCATGGTATGTCTCAAACGAGACACTACACAGAGACCTTGACATTCCTTACTTGAGGGATTATGTCAAGCTTCAGGCGTAGCGACGTTGCGCGACTCAGTGGACTACACAGTGAAGCAAGTTCCATTCAAGGCCACGGCTCGCACTGTAATCAAAAATTAGCGTGAAATTTTAGTAAACTTTAAATTACACTCTAACAAAACCGAATCAAAATTTGTTCAGTTCACGTCAAAATTAATCCGTGTACTAAGTCAGAAAGCCTAGGTGTTTCCTCTTCAACTAAAGACTTCTGTTTTTCTTTACTCTTCTCCTTTTTTCTTATCTTTCGCTTTCTCTTTTTTCTTGACATTGTCTGGTTTCTGGGCAACCAGGACTGACAGATTCGACTAAAGTACATTAGACAATGACAAATGGTCAAAGGTCCTACGGACCGCCCAGACAAACAAATGGAGGATAGTATCACTAAATGCCTTGCACATTATATCTTGATGATATCCCAAGATACAAAGACGAGACTAAATTCTTCATAAGGTTCATGTATTCCACAGTCATGATTTCATCTTAAAATTATTGCGTAATGACACCACTTGGGTCTTAAATAGGGTTCAACAGAAGGTACATTTTTTGCCGATGCCAACCTTTGGCCGAAGCAGAAGCCAAGGCCAAATGTTTAGGCTAATCAAAAATATCAGTTCAACACCAAACAGCACTGCCTGGCTGTATACTTTGGATATCAACAGTGCCTTCGACATTGTATGGAAACGTAAAATACTAAATCAGCTAAAAGCATGGATGATGGAAACTTGTTAGCATTTGGAAACAACTTTTTAACTGAAAGGCACTTTAAAGTACGCGCAAACGGGATGCTGCCCTCAATTAGATTCCAGAAGAACGGTCCACCTCAGGGATCCGTAATCAGCCCTACTTTATTTCTTATCGACATCAACGATATTCTGAAGACGATCTCAAAACCTATCCAAGCAAGACTCGATGCAGACGATATGACTCTTTTTCTCAACGGTAAAGTGTTGAAAACAAGCGCAAACCTGGTACAGGTAGTACTGAATGAATTGGTGAAAGTGGTCCAGCACCTTAGGATTTTCCCTTTCTCCAGAGAAGACTAGATGTATAATATTTGCTAAAAACCCATAGAACGTTTTCCCATATTGCTTTTATATGGCAAACCATTAGACTATATAAAGGAAATAAAATTTCTTGAAGTGTATTTCGATCAACGTCTGACCTGGAAGGGCCATGTTAAATACCACACCAAATCGTGTCAAAAAGGTATCAACCTACTTAAATGCCTGGCAAACAAGCACTGGAGAGCTGAAGGGAAAACTCTTCTTACTATTTACAGGCTACTTGTGAGATCAAAAATTGGTTACGCCTGTATGACTAACGCCTCAGCCAAAGCTTCAATCCTCAACCACTTGACACACTGCATAACTCAGCTTTGTGACTGGTACTGGGGCCTTCAGCACCACCCCCGTCAATAGCCTATACCAGGAATGTGGAGAAGCACCTTTAGCTATGAGAAGACATTTATTGAGCTTATCTTATGCTTTAAAAGTAGCCTCAAATCCTGTCTCACCAGTAAAAGAATTGGTAGCTACAGAGAAAGTATTCATGGAACACCGTTCAACCAAACATACTTAACCCCTAACTGGTGACCATGGGCCTGACAGACCCTGCGCGAAATTCAAATTTCTCCCACTCCCGGATTTAACTAGATTTTAGCTTGTCCGCCTAGGTACCCGTCTAATAACTATTTGCAAGTAAGACGTCGTTGTGTGTGCATCGCGGACTTTTACGAGAGAGTTTTCGTACGTTGTCAAATATTTCGCAGGGTCTGTGAGACCCAGAGTCACCATTTACGTGATTTTTGAATAATGGCATCTTCAAGACAAAAAATACATGCAACTGATAAAGATTTCGAAACTATTGCGCAGCGATGGTACGAAGAAGTAAAAAGTGACTTAAGTGATTAGGATGATGATATACAAGATCCCGATTATTACAATGACCACGATTCAACTTCAGAAATAGAAAATAATGAAGGTAACAACGATTCTGCTTCGGGAGAGGAACTTGAACCTGAGATGGATAAAATAAATGTTAGGGCGTGTTATGGAAAAGATGTGTGAGATGTAAAAAATCAGTTTGCTTACCATGTGTGGAAAAATATGTGTTGAATGTGCCAAGGAGTAACATTTTACTTTTTTATTTACCTCAAGTTCAGGTGCTGTAGTTTTCTAGTATATATTTTTCCAAAATGTTTATATTTTTTTATTTCATACTCTATCGATGTTATTTCATCAATTCCATATATTATAGTGTCTTAAAAAAAATATTGTTTAAAAAATTTAATAAACTATGCTGTTCGACAAATATGTGGACTTTTATTTAGTTTTCCTAATTTATGTTTGATAAATACAGATAACCTTCAAAATTATTTATAAAACATTGTTATTTGCCTCAAAATATATTAGAGAATTAGACAATATATAAAATTAAACAATATCTAAAATACATACAAGAATACAAAAAAAATAATATGTGGGTCTGAGAGACCCAGCGTCACCTCTAACGTTACCCGAATGGCACGTCACCAGTTAAGGGTTAAGAGATCTGGATATAGCTGGAATGCCAATTCCTTACCCATCCCATCTATCCACCATCCCACCATGGAAGATACATATACCGAACATCATCACAGAGCTGCTGAAATTTGATTAGCATCAAACTCCAAATGAAGTGATCATACAACATTTCCGAGAGCTCCTGGGACTCTACCCTTATCGAGAAGAAATTTACACTGGTGCTTCCCAAGTGAACGACAGTATAGGTGCAGCTATTTTGACACCTTCTAGAATAACCACAGTAAGGCTACCACAGGAGCTAACCATCCTAAGCGGAGAACTCTATGCGATTCTAGTTGCTCTTAATCGTATAAAAGATAGCCAAGCAAACAGGTCGCTTAACTCGCTAAAGCTCCGAAACGATCAATATACGGAACATGCAATTATTACAAAAATTAGAGAAACACACTACCATATCCTAAGTGGGTTCCATCTCACGCTGGAATAAGTGAAAAAATATTGGCAGATCAAAATGCTAAAAAGGCTGCAACTTCAGATGCTCATTTCAACCTGAAACCACCTGTGACCGATCTCAAAACTCAGATAAAAAGCCTAATACAGAGTAAATGGAATAGCAAATGGCAAGAATCTCCATCAGAACTGAAAGAACTAAAACCAACTGTTGGACCATGGGAAGTAGTGACCACCAACAGACAACATCAAGTGGTGATAATCCGTTTACGCCTAGGGCACACAAGAGCCTCACACGGATTCCTCATCGCCGGTGAATACGAGCCAATATGTGAAATTTGTGAAGTGAGTCTGGCTGTGTGATGTCATATGTTAATGGAACATCACAGAACAGATAACAATATTAGTGGTAACCTTAACGACACTATACGCTCGAACTGAAATGTAAATAATATTATCCAGTATCTGAAGGATATACAGATGTTACATAAGCTGTAAACTAACCAGCTGCTGATAGCCTAAGGCTTATGCAGTATTAATAAAAAAAAATGTCAGTTGTGTTATAAGAATATAATGAAAGATTATCCCACATACGTATACAGTGTTATTGTGTGATTTGAAAATCATATTTTTCCCCGTCGCTCTCCAAATGTGATCAGTGACGCAGTGTGGCTCCAAAACGAAGTTTTTGATTCAGGCCTCGAGGATCCTACAACCGGCTTTGGGAGATTGTTGTCAATTCATTTTTCATCCGACCCATTGGTATACATAATTACATGTGGGTTCAAAAAGGAGCAGTGAGATCGATTTTTGACTTCAAATATTCAGTCAATTCAAGTTTCTACGTTAGTGACCAATTTTCAATTATGAGGAGGCACTAATTTGTATTTTGAGTTATCGAGGATGAAACGTCTATACTGTTCTTTGACAGTCATTTGTCAGGCTTTATTGTCGGCAGTTTCGAACAAGACATTTTAGACATTTTTATCTCATCCAAATAGCTTAACAGCACAGATTTCATAAGTTCAAACTACACATTTTCCTACTTACTTGGCTGTGCAATTTGAACACTTTAAATTATCCCCAGTACAATCTTAAAAGTGAACCATATTAATTATAAACGAGTCAATCGTCAAGGAAAATTTCCATTAGTATCTAGAAAAATTGTATATCTATATTCAATACACTAATATTTTAATCTTCTATATGTATCTAAGCGTTATCACATCCATACAAATCTATATGTTTGTATGCTACCGTGCCAAACAATGCGCATTGATAAATGCAGCAGATAAAAGCACTTAAATTTTGTTGTCTCAGCATTAAGTTTTTATCGAAACAGTAATTCATCCAAAATGGAAAAAGTCACAAAGACACAAAAATAACTTTTTCAGCAACATTGTAATCAACAAACATCAATCCCATTTCAAGCTTCAAATAGCGCCTGCGCTGATAATTCACTGAAAATGTTCTTACCGGTTGGGAAAAGAAACTAATAATATGAATTTTTGTTGTGGAGTCTTCTATCGCGGTGCAACACCTTATTATTTATTGCGATTTTATTTTGGCTATTTTGGATAAGTAAATAAAGCATATTTGGCTAATCTGTAAGTTCTCTATTTTTCATGTTAAAACAATTTTGAATTGAATTATTACAATAAAAGCACAATGTATAGATACTGCAAAAACGTGCAAAAACAGCCTTCTGACAATTTTTTAATGTACGCCTTTGATAAATGACTTTCTAAGATTTCATGTTATTTGATACCAACCACAGGAAAAATAAAATTTCTCCAAACCAAAGTGTGCCCGTTCAGGCTACCAAATTAAGTTATTGTGACATTGAACATGACACATGTTGGTATTGACGATTGTACAAAATTCAGTTCAATTCGATTCACTTCAATCGACTTTATTGGAATACAGTACAGTTACAAATGACGAAGTCTGGGCAGTGACCATTCAAACGTAACCATGAAGATTTTAAAGATGCTTTCACTTTTACTCATTTCACCGCTAATTTAAATACCACCAGGGTTACAAAAAAACCAAGCTTCAAAAAGTATAGTTCACTTGAGGTAGATTGGTTACTAAAGTAACTCGAACCAGATTCTTGTACTGTAACTACATGTATCTCAGAATCCAGAAGTTTTTTCAGTGGATTATACCTCAATAACACAGACTATTGATTTTTTAGTACAATAATCTTAAAATGGCCATAAAAACAAGGAACCTTCAAAATACCAGCACTCACGTTTACATTTTCTCAAAATTAATGGATATTCCGAAAAAACAGAGCTGACTGGCCTGCCGAAAAGTCAATTCTTTTTGCAATCGTAACACCTTTCTAGAGACTTAGCCGCCGGCTGTGAATATATACTCGTAAAGTATAGTCTCCATGGTTTATCAGTGTTCTTGAATATGTGCTACAAACACCTACTTTCTCCAAAACCTGTTCATGGGCGCGATGAATGGCTTTTTTTGCATTCTGAGCTTATGCGTTATATCGATAAGAACCAGTATTATCAATACTGATCTTGGGTTATTAATCAGATCCTTCTTAATGCAGGTGAATGCTGAATGCAAGGATTACCGCCTTCTGAAAGATAAGTGGAATTTCGGTAATAAGCATTGTTTAACCACGTATACTCATAAATTAAACTTCATTTCATAAGCCCTTTTACTATCAGTTAATTCATAATTTCAGTATTCACACATATAAATATGAGACTATTGTATGCAGTCCCTAAACAGATCATTTCGATATTTGTTGTATGCAATAGTGCCACTGACAATGAAGGTATTTTATTTAACTGTAATTTTTGCAAGTAGCATATGCTGCAAAACAGGTAAGTAACCGTTTCCAATGTTATTGATGATCGTCGAGGGTATGACATCGCCAGTTTAAATATTATTAATGTTGCATGCTTTAACATATCGTATCTCCTAATGAGGTATTAGATATACCTATTTCTGACAGTTATTAGTCAGCCAGTTTCAGTTGATTTTCTATTTTATTTTGCTTGCCTCAAAAATTATTTCTATTTTGTATTTATTTATTCATTAACACCTTAAACATCAAACCAAAATTATATATTCCTTCCTAATGATCTTATTTTGTGAGAAAATAAATATCGTTAGAGAATATTTCCATCGTTCGTGAGGTTGGAGTTTTTATGATATGTGCATTCACTCAAGATCATCTTCTTTCAGTTCCTGTAGATTTGGTTGTAGAGGAGGAGTTGCCGTCCGAGAGTAACATAACCCTCAAATTCTTTGAAACTGGTATTCGGTACCATTTTTTCAGTCAAGCAAACCCATTCAGAAGCCGCAAACTTCGTATTGATACAATTGAATCAGTGCCCCTTGACTACTTTGACGCCAACAAGGAAACTTTGTTCATCATACATGGTACGTTTTTTGACCGCTTCTAAGCTTTCAGATCACATTCCGCGAAATGATAGCTTATGCTATTATCTATCCTATTCTTTAATATTTGAACGAAAAATTGCGATTTGTCTTAGGCTGGAAGAGTCACAATGAGTCTGAAATCAGCTTCCACATCAGGGAAAGGATCTTGGATCGTCATGATGTGAATGTTTTTGTTGTGGATTGGCATATAGTAGCAGGAAAGAGTTATCTAAATGCTCAAGGCAATGTAAGAAAAGTTGGACAGTACATTGCCAAGTTTATTACAAAGCTTCAGGATATGTATGGACTCAGGTATAGCAAAATCAATAACACAACCTCTGATCGAATCAAATTACAGGAAATATACACACAATGCACTGCAGTTTCATAATAATGTTTACTGGTTAAAATAAAATATACATTATATTGTATCTCTAAAAAACGAGGAAGTCCTCTATTGATTAGAACAAGTGCAAGTATGGTAGACTATCACTTATCGTATTCTTCCTGTGCATAGAACAAGATTCTAGTTACTCAACTAATTCCTGAATGCTGGCTTGGAGCAGTTGAGTTCCTATAAGCTTGTTCTTTCTACAAAAAGAATACAACGAATATGAATAATATTTCTTTATCCTTCAGATTGAATAAAGTGAAATTTGTCGGTCACTCTCTGGGAGCCCACATAGCTGGTAATGCAGGAGCAGCTCTAAACGGCGAGGTAGACCGGATTACAGGACTTGATCCTGCAGGACCCCTCTTTTCCGTCAAAGATACTGACAATCGTCTAGACCCAAGTGACGCCAAATATGTTCAAGTTATCCATACCAATGATGGCTTCCTCGGCTTCAATGGACAATTGGGCCATGCTGACTATTATCCCAATGGAGGAAAATCGCAACCAGGTATTGTGCACTGTCGCCAAATAATGAATGTTTTCGCACACGAAGTTTTAGCGATTTCCATTTTTTGTTTTTGGCCTTTTTTTTCGCAGCCACTGGACCGATTTTCTAAAACTGCATAGATTTTTCGTCCTTGGCGTAGTAGTAGCATTGTGTGAAAGTTTCATCAATATCCGAGAGGGAGAGCTCAAGGTATAGGCGCTCATGAGATTAGCGGGCAGACCGAGAGCAGATACAAATACCGACAGACAGATAAAAATGAGTGTCATGGTTTTTCGCGATTTACATGTCATTTACATCCAAAATACATAACATTCCATTTTCGAAAATAAATAGCAAGTAAAATGTATAGATCAACAACAACAATGATAGACAGCAAATACTAGTAGTAGTGAACCCAAATTATTAGTAATATTCAAAAATGGTTTGATTGCAATGATAGTTCTGTGCCCAACAAGTCTACGTGAATGCACACATTCGATGATACCTAGAGTGTTTTACATTACTTACATTTTACCTAGGAGGAGAAATATAACTTCTTCTTATAGAGATGCGTTAAGTAATGGCAAATTTCTCAGGTTAGTAATAAAAAACCTTATTTCTAGGTTGTTTCGATTGTAGAGGTATTCAGTAGGATATCTACCTGACAAGTTATACTTTTGATTTGAAGGTGTAATTGCCAAATCTACATGCTGTAACTGACAGAAGACAAGTTCAAATGACATTCAATATTTACTTAAGCAAAGATACTTTTCAATAAGGCATTGCGCTCTCGGGTTAGTTACGAAAATAAAAATTATTCGTTGGATGCGGTTCATTTTGTTCAAATAATGGAGTTATTCCAAGTATCAGTGATGTCCATCCAGAATAATAACTTCAAGACTATTGATTATTGTTGTAACGAATATTTTTTTTTTTTTGTTAAAGCGACATCCTTTGTCTTTTGTGAATAGAGCCAGTCACCAATTATTTGGGATTAGTAAAAAAAATGAATGACTGAAGATGATAGATCTCTTACCGTAATACTCGGTTGACATTCATTAGACTTTCGTGAATCAACAGGCTCAAAATACGCTGACCTTTTTTACCTTGCTAAATATATGGTTATATTTTCCAGGATGTGGCTTAGATTTGGCAGGCATTTGCTCTCACTCGCGGTCATATGCTTACTACGCAGAATCTCTAAATTCTGAAAGCTTCATAGCATATCAGTGCGACAACTATGAGGAATATCTTCAAGGATTTTGTGTTTACAGTCATGTTTCCATTATGGGAATGTTCAACGTGGATATTAAGTTAGTATATCAACTTCATTTCGTCCAAATTAGAATATAAAATTCTACCTTATACTTCAGAGTACCAAAGCCTCGGCCTCCATTTGAATTAGTATTTCTGATAAATAGTATTACACGGTCAGCAGATGAAATTTTTATCTTTAAAACTTATTTGTTTTCTATATTCTCTATTTCAGTGCACGTGGCAAGTACTACCTACGAACCTATGGGAATTTCCCATACGCAAGAGGATGGAAGTAGTATGTAGGAATTTTTTAAAACATACCTGTTATTCAGTATAAATAAAATAATGATGCTATATTATTTGTTTAATACCATAAAAATATTTTATATGTGCAGCATTAGGTGGGATGGGATCAAGGGGGTAATTACTTAGGCAGGATCATGCGGTTAACGTTATTTATAAAGTACGTGCTCGCAATAAAAAGTAAACAGTTCGGGAAATATTGCTATTATCTTGAATGCAAAGCATCAAATAAAGCGTCAAGATCCTACCCCAACCCACCTAAAAGACCAACCAGTAAAAACCAAATTGGTTTCACCGGTACTATTTTCCATTGGACGTTGAATGTCTTAACTTCCTAAAATTATTTTGATTCTAAAGGGTGTTATTTGGAAAAAATGTTCACATGACCAATAATATTGAAATGTCATTAAAGTTATTGTTTCTATCCCTTGACAGTGTGTGTGTGTGGCTGTTTGCAAAAAATGCAACCCGGAATAGGTTATAAAGGCGGTGAAAAAAACATTCGGTAAACTCCAATAGTATCGCCTCGCTTTGGGTACCATTTGTGCGATCTACGCTCAAAAAACCGGATTCTGAAAGAGTATTGCGCGAGTTACTACTTTTTCCCTCGTAAACTTTTGTAAGAACCTTCACACTGTTTTGCTTTAAAAAAAAAGTATTACAATTTTAAGATTTTTCACGCAAATGCGAGTATTAAATACAGTTAGAAATAATATTGGCAGCATTTTCGTAAATAGACCTGATGGGGCAGTCAGTTATGTGGCCTGCTCGAAAAACGGCCCCCTTTTCCGTTTAAAATAATCACTATGACTAGACTTGCGAAAATTATGAGGCAAGAATTATATAAATTGACATTATGTGTCAAACTGAAACTGCGAATTCAACTGCCTTTCTGTCCGCCATATTTGTATACAATGTGTGCATTGAGAGCTCACTGTCCTGCCAAAGAGTAGTCATATCACTTCGTGAATTGTTTTTATAATGGGTTGTCTCCGTTGAGCTTGGGTTTCTTTTGCATCGAAGCTGATTACAAATTGGTGGTTACATCATCGTGTACTAATATAATGAAAACTAATGAAATCTCAACTGTGTTGTCAAGCATCAAAATACTTAAGATTTCATCAGAAAGTCATACGAAATGAGTAAACATTCTCGTATAGTCTTAGGGTTATGCTAGATAACTGAGAACTACGTCAAATACATCGACCACTGGTCAGATGGGGAATGATGAATAAAGGTCCAGGCAAAAGTAAATTTAAATAAAACGTGTTTTCACGGGAGTGACAATGAATTCATCCAAAAAGGATTATCTGTCTGGCAACACTGCATTTATCTCTGACCAAATAACAACAGCACGTGTTTAGATACCATCAGCTGTTCGTGGACGCCAGGTTTTGGGTTACATCTCTTATATCTCTCACTGCGAGCACCTAAACAACTCCTTCGACTGGGTTTGTAGAAAAATGTTGAGGAGACTTAAAAGTAAGCTAAAGTGCCAGCTGACGTGCTAGTAAAGTAAAAAATAACTGGCGTCAAGTACCCAACACTACCTTCAGTTCATAAACGATTACATTCCGCATGAGTTAGTCTCTTTTAGAAGAAAGTTAGCTACGAACATGTACAACAAAGGAGTTGAATAGATCATGACAGTCAAACAAGCTCAAACAATTAGTCGATAGTGGCTACACATACTACTAAGCACCCAGCAACGTGACAACTCAGCACGGCGTTGCATGTACGGATACAAGTATCATTATTCATTGATTCACTTAGTCCTCCTGATTCGAAGCAGTCAGACGTACGCTTGCTGAGTTGTCCGGTACGTGTATATCTCCGTTATGCCACCTTTAAGGGCAAGGTTATCACGTAAAAAAACTATAATTATAAAGTCAAAGAAATCGGCAAAATGTGAACTTCTGGACTAGATACATTCCACGCCTACTACATAATATCAAAAAAATCGATATAATGTTACTTTTTATGTCACTTGATATGGGTGAGGGGTTGAACCGTAACTAGCAACATCCAATTTTTAACCCGCGCCATTTTTTTCTGAAAATGTCCAGGATCTTCTGAAATGTCGAAAATACAAAGTACAAGCCACTGGACCGACTTAAAAAACAAAATACGAGCGGCACTTCCTAAGTTGTAGACGGGCAGAGAGACAGACTGACGGAAATGAGTGACATGGACTGTTGTCATATAACTTACAAAAAACATATCTCATTTTAGAATTCTTTACGTCAGTGGCGTAGGAAGTAAAATAAAAGCGTTGTTGCACAAAGGTCACTTTTGTGCTATGACGGCTGGTTATAAAAAACTAATATACCCTGTATTTCTTTCCTACAAAATATTGTATATGTTTCTGTTATGACATTGCAGCTAACCTGCAGAGGAATCAGGGCGGGAATGAAAATATACGAGGCGCTCAGACATTAAAAGCAGCATCTCCATGCATGGGGTCATAAAAATTAATTAAAAAACAAAGGACACGCGCCTTGGTCCAGCTCCGACAGAAATAAAGACTAAGGGGAGGGGGTGGGGGAGAGAGGAGATGAGACACTCACTGAATTTCTGAGTATGGCATGTGAAACGGGCATGACGGTACGTGGTATATACATGCATTTATACATCATTCGGAATAATATTTCCTGGTATTTCGTGGTGCAGAGGTTTTGCAAGGCGTAGTCTGATATTGTAGAAATTTGGTCCCCGTTTGCTCTATGCCGTTTCTCAACATGTCCACTGCTGATTTAGATTCTTCCTCTTTGACTAACTCATCATTTTATCCTTTGGATTTATGTTTAATTGGACCAGATCTTAGGTTTTGTACTATACAAAGAGAAACATTTACAAGAGAAGGGTTAAATATTCTGCATATACAAAGTGATATAAAAAATATTGTTAGAACAGGGCAGAAAGTTCTCCTAGAGGTAAGTGTCTGCAAATATGCTGCTGAAGCGCCCCCTTCATTGAGATACAGAGCGATGATGTTGTATTTACAAAATAGAAGAGAATTACCTTAAAAGTGAAAGAGACCCAAACATTTTTACAGACACCTAGTGCTGACATCATGCACAATACATACAAAACTCGCGCTTTTGTTATGGTCGAATTGTAAAAAAGTCGATACCACTAAACTTAAACCTTTTTGCGATTTTTTCCCACAAATAAAGGCTTGTTATTATAATTAAAAATGTCATGCTTGGCTCGAGATGTAGAAGATCGGATAAATTGATACCTGCAGAACAAAAAGGCCCTGTTTTACGCCACCGACTGTTTGGAAATACTTTTCCAGTTTTCGAGTGGGCACTCAACTCGACATAAGTTATATACCTTGAGAAAGTTTGCAAGATCATTCCCTTCTTTATTAAGAGCTTCAATCTGTTCTATGAAATCACAGACGTTGAAGGTAGCGAAGTTTGACATTTGTATAAAATGTACCAGAAAAGTGATATCACGTCAACATAATGCTACTTAAAGAATATTCCTGTCTTGTTTTTGGTCCGTTCGATTAGTGGCGTAGAAATATACCTCGTCAAGGGGACATTTTGGGTCCCCTGTTTAAAGTAGCTCTTTGTGTTATTTCCCGATATAAGCCTAAAGAAAATTGAAATGCAATTGGATTTACAACTGTTTATTAGATTGATCTCTCCTCATCTTTCTGAATCCAGATGTTTTGGATTTATATGGGATGTTGTTTCATGTGCATTTCTGATGACAGCAAGTTGGTATACTGCCGCTGGGTTCCCAGTTTCCAATTCAGAATTTCGCAAATACTCAAACTGTAACCCTTTCAACGAAATGCTGGAAGACCTGTCCCTGACATCGCCTAACATGGTTCGCCTGAGCACAAAACGAATAATCTTGTATGTATATTTTTCGCGGTCTGTGCCTTCCCTCCCCTCATCTTTCCTCGACACGAAGCCGACCATATTTATAATAATATATTTAATTAGCGACGTGGTCATGTCAAAAGCAGGAGAAGCAGGAATAGCAGAGGCAGTAGCAGGAGCAAGCTACACAGGCGGCGACGGCTTTACAGTAGAGTTACTTTGTCTCTGCACGTATTAAGGACTTAACATGTGATGTGCCTGTGCCCGACGATGCCACGTCGCTCCCCCTTTTCTCCCCCCGTTTGTAGCCCGACGGTGCTCGTTTGCCTACGCCTCTCACGTCCTTTTGCTCATGGACAGGGGCGCCCACTGGTCCCAATTCAAGAAATCATTAACTTAGGGTCGAAAGTCAAATAATCGATCTATTGCTTTTCTGTAGATACCTTATACTGCTACAAACAACTTTTATAGGTCAACAGTTGGTAACATACGGCCTAAGTTTAAAGAAAAAAATATCGCTTGATTTTTTGTACGGAATAAGAAAATCTGCACCATTTGAGGGTGCACTAATCACGGATTCGAAGTGAGACTCATGATACATGGTTAAGTGTATAACTATCCACATTTTCTTCATAAGCACCTATTTCAGAAGTCTGACACCTAACAAAATAAAGAAACCTAAACATATCTTTAAAGAACTAACAAGAACTAACGATGGACTTGGATAATATATACCTATCATACCCATGGGTGCATTTTCAACCTTAAAAATCAATCAATTGAGCAATATCATGTATATTTTTTATAATTTAATTTTTATTAATAATTTTGTTCTGACCCACTAAAATACATAGTCCAAATATATCGGTACCTACTTGTATTTCTAACTGTCCCTAACTCGGTTATCTAAAGTCTTTAGGTTTGTTATTGTAATTGAAAAAAATTAAAATGCCTGTATCTGTTTAGGTCTCAGCATCGATTAACACTTTCCATCTGGCCGCAGACGTTTGCAATAGGTAGTTATGAAGAAAATATCGACAGTATGGCCTCTGCAATATATCGTCGCTTCGAATACGTGATTTGTACGTAGCCAAATAGCTACCGTACAAAAAGTTAAACATTTTTTTCTGCAAAAGTACGTAGTCCATTAATTACAAAATTAAGATCTATAGAAGTTGTTTCTAATAGGATAAGCTTTCTGCAGATCGACCCTTTACCTTTCAACCCAAGTTAATCATTTTTTTAAAAATACAATAAAAACAAATCGAATTTCTTTATTTTGTTAGGTCGCAGACTTATAAAATAGGTGTTCATGAAAAAAATGTCTACAAACAAGTACAAAAAAATTAACCAATATTTATAGGGCACATTTTACCAAATTAGTACCCATTGTTTATAATAACAGCCTACAAAAAAAAGTAGATCCATTCTTTGGCTTTAGATCCTACGACCATGATTTTTTTATTTGGGACCAGATATTCGAAAATCCCTTCATCCAACGATGAACGATGTCTGAGAGATTCTAAGAAGTTACTGCAACTAAAGGAGCTCCTACCACGACCTTTTGCTAATGGACAGTAATGGAGTTCATCAAAGCC